CGGCGCTCGCCCCGCCCCCGAGAGGCCGGCGCTGAGCGCGCGCGCGCCCAGGAAGCGGCCCCGGAACCGGCGGCGGGCGTGTGCTCTGGCCGCTCCTCGGGGTTTGTGCAGCAGGCGCCCGGGTTCAGAGGCTCGTTCCAGCCTGGACCATCTTCCCTTACAGCCGGGATGCCAGCCCTTCTCGAGAGCGTTGCTGATTGCTACATATTTCCAGGTATACCGAAGCGCTTTGCTCCCAACCGCCCTTTGAGAATGATAATAAATGGTTTTGTAGCACTTTCAGACAACTGTGTAGCATAGCAATTAGTCAAGATTCCTGCCCCACCACTTAGTCGATAAGTTAACGCGGACATTCCTGATTGTCAGTTTCTCGGCTACACAACAGGGATACGAATACACACTTATGAGGAGGCAATGCAAGCAAAGCTTTTGCAGTGGCCTGGTACCTGGTACGTAAATTAAGCCAGTGTTCTTATTCACACTACTGAGCTCTTCATATCACTTAGGGTATCTCTCTGCACTACAATAGCTTCCCCTACCTCAGTTTTTAGCAGAATATCATGCTGTACATCTCTGATCATACTTAATCCCCCTTTACCAAGACCGTTGCTATGGAAATATAAAATTATAAACTTTAAATAGGTTGGGTAAGCTATGGTTAAAAATGTAATTGAGACCACAGGCTTCCGGCCCCAATATTTCACTAAAAACCTTGAGAGGAGAATAACTTTTTTTTTTTCAACAGTAGCATGTCTGACTACAGGAAGAATACATTTTACCTAGGTTTTTGTTGTTGTTGTTTTTTTTTTTTTTTTTTTTTTGGTTTTTTTTTTAGTTGGAGTCTCACTCCATGGCCCAGGCTGGAGTGCAGTGGCATACTCATAACCACCCCAGCGTTGACCTGCTGGGCTCCTGTGATCCTTTTGCCTTAGCCTTCCAAGTAGCCAGAACTACAGACATGTGCTACCACATCTAGCTGATTTTTTTTTTTTTTTTTTTTAATTGTAGAGATGAGGTCTCACCAAGTTTCCCAGGCTGGTCCCGAACCCCCCCAGGTTCAGGCAAACCACTCACCTTGGCCTCCCAAAGTGCTGTGTGAAAGGATGGACTGAGAGTGGGAAGCCATTTTTCATCTTGTTCTTAAACTCTGACACAATGATGAGAAAGTAGAAGCTATGCTTTTGGAGAAATGCACACTTTAGGTTTAATTAACTTTACCACTTTGTCTTTTCAGAAACAGACTTCCAGGTATCGGAGGTATCTCATAGTGGCAATCAAGCGTAAAGGGAATTTACAAGGCCTAAGATATCATACCTGGTCAAGGACTGTAAAAGTCATGAAACTTGTAATTACAAAAGCTATAGCCCGCACAGAGGGGGAGCGGATGGGGACTTAATCTTCCAGTAGAACGAGCCCTATCTACAGGGAAGTCGAGCCCTATCTACAGGGAAGTCAAGGACCCCCAAAGCTACTGGGAATGCCTAGGAGATCAGGAGGAAGTGCACACCATTAGCTCCAAGGAATGTTGTTCGGGAAGATACAGGAGAATTGGAATCCTTGTCACACCCTTCTCTAGGGTCTGTGATAATGTGGGTGAACATTAATGAGTCTCTGTCTCACAGGATTGCCAAAACATCCACAGGTGGTCGATAAGGAAGTCACGGGCAGTCTCGTGCAGTCCCAAGCATCTCCAAGAAAAGGATTTAAGCCAAGACTTGGGAGGCTACGCGGCCACACTCACCTAGAGTGTAGGCCCACTCCCTGTCTGTGGGGGGTGAACTTTTCTCAGATAAATTTTTTCTTTTCTCACCGTTTTGTGTGTCGCAATTCTTTGCATTTACTTGGATCTCTGGGTTGCCAGCGTGCACCTCCGGCTTGCCAGCCCCGGCAGTGCTGCGTGCCTCCCTGTGCCTCTCCACTCTCACCCTGTCCGTCCGTACCCTAACACTGGGATTACAGGCTGAACCACCAAGCCAGCCCAGCCTACCTAAGTAGACACACTCTTGGTTAAATGTTGGGGAAGAACAAACCCTTTACCATCAAGGTACTAAGATAAAGATAATTATCCAGATTGTGATGGAGTGTATGTGTGTGTGTGTGTGTGTGTGTGTG